TCTGATTAAAAGAACTTTTTCTTTACTATTTACACTTTTAGAAAAATGGTTTATATCATTTAAATAGTTGCCCAGTACCCTATAGATTATAGCTATCGAGATTATCAGGTTAATTAGCTAGTGTACACCAATAATAGGAGCAAAGTTTTGAATTTTTGTAACAGATTAAGTCAAAAATTACTAGATCGATTTAAAAAAAATCTTCAACATTACAACGCTAATAATCCTCGAGTTACATAGGCTATGTTTAATATTTTGTACTAGAATGTTTAAAATAAACGTCAACTCGTGAGAAGCCGGGAGAGGTCGCTAGTGGTAAATAAAACTGATCACTATAAATATTTAATATGCAAATGCTGGTAGTAAACATAAGAATAGATGTCAAGTGACACCATGCATGCATGCTTTGTACATGTTCCATGCATTGTCGCACCGTGTGAATAATTCATAACTAAATATACGCATTATGATATTAATTGTATCTTATGTTTGTAGAGTATATTAAAATATGTATATAATTTCATAGATTTATCATAAATATGTATTTATCTTATGAATTATGTCTTTATGGTGTTATTTTCCATTTAGAATAGACACATTGTAAATAAGTTTAAGTTTTCAATGCAACACGTATTCCATACTAGCTGTTGCCCCCGACTTTGTCAACAGGTAATTAAAAAAGAAAAAAAATGGCCTATGTTACACATATACAATATAAGCTACTTTCCAGTAAAAGTCCCGTAAGATCGTTCAAGCCCTTTTGGAGATTACCCGGAACAGGGGATTTGCGGACAGACAGACAAAATTTTACAAACTGTTTTTTGTTATAAGCATCGAAAGTACATCGCGTTTACCATTTTTTTTTATATTATATATTTTATATATATATTTATGCAATTTTGAGTGTTAGCAGTTTTAAAACAGACCATTTTTTAGTTAGCCCATCGTGACAGGGTTAATAGAAGTGCTTTGAATATTATTTTCGTATCACTTGTAATAACAACCAAAATTTAAACGACAAATTTTAGTAAAATAACCCACTACTGGACAATATTGTAGAAATCTGACTCCTATTTCCAATATTGTTTTATACACCTGTTAATGTTGATAAATAAAACAGAACAATATAGAAGTTATGGTAAATACATAGAAAACATTATGACGTAGGTCTGATAAAAGTCTGCGCATTTCATTATCACGATTTGTTTACCCTTTACTTCAACATTATCTTATTTTCTTTGTTTGATGTAAATTTATTGCCATATTTATTGCAAACAAAATGGGATATGACAAAGGGCTTCCATTTCGTACAAGGGACTTACGAAATAAAAAAAAAACTACTTGAGGAGAAAAGACCACAGAGAACAGGAATTTATTAATAAACCATCGTTTCCAAAATAGCAGCGAACGTTGACAAAAGAATTTGGGAAGAGCTCTCCAAACTTCAAGCAATTAATATATATTTTTTATATTTTTAAGAGAATTTAAAAGAGTTGGAATTTCGCATACTCCATACTTAAACCGGCTAGCAACAAATGGATGCGTGCAAAAGAGATAGCTTTATATAAAAAAGTAATCAATTTCATAGTAATAAAAAACAAATTATTCAATATCACCACGTGTAAAATACGTAACGTATCTTAACATTTAAATACATAACAGTATACTTTTTTATTTGAAATTTGTATAATATGTACATTAGTAGTAAATAACAAAAAGTTGTTATATAACGTACTTAGTGTCCTGATACTAAATTTTGGTCAAATTAAAAAGTTACAAACGCTTTTCTTGATTGGTGTCAAATTTTCAACAATATATGTAACAATTTTTTATAATCATAAACAAATTTATGTAAAAACATTTGATTCATAATCATAACGATATATATCTTGTCTCCAGGATTCGAAGCTATATTTGCTTTTTTATTACCAGAAGTAGTCTTAGCGTAATAAAAATATGACGTCATATTATGTCCTTATATACATATGTAGTAGGACTCGTGATATCATCCGATAACGAACTTCATTGAGTACATTCACGTACATTATGCATATACATATATATTATGTATGTGTGTATATAATACATCTATGCTTCGAGGGATTCACTGACAACGGACTTTAGTTTTCAAACATACAACATTGTTACTTACCCGTAATCTATACATCCGTATACAGTCGGTTATATAGGTGTTTTAAATCATTTTCTCCGTCCGCTAATTGATGAATTAATAATAAAGAGGATAGCGTTATTGCGAAGCGCATGTATTAAGAGGTAAGCTTAATATTTAACAGTTACATTGGAGGTCTTCTTTCTTTATCTTTTTTTATTTTCTTCACACAGTTTTATAAACAGCATTATAGGTAGGCAAAGCATATGCAATTGCGTGTGTCTATGGGCTACGGTCACTTCGCTATGTCAGCGATTTCAGGTGGCCGCTAGCTCGTTTGCCACATTAGGATATAAAAAAAAATAGCAACCAGCCGTAGTTTCATAATGAATGTATCTAATTACTTTAGAAATTACGATAAAACTATGTTATTTGCAGGTTTAAAAACCACTATTACCTATTTAGTTTTCACTTTAAAAGAGAACAAAAATATCAGATCTAATCAGAGTTGCAGTCTGTAGTTAATTTTATCCATGTGAGAACCGTACAGTTGAGATGTATTGCGCCCGAGTCGGGAGACAGGTCTATACTTAGCAATCAGGTCGGGACAGAAAAAGCGCAGTGTTGTGCTTGCGAGAGACCGGTCCATAGCCTGCAGCGCCTTTCTGAACCGGTTCATTGTAGCTCATAATAGACCCTACGAAGAACACAATTTATAACAGCAAACAGACAGGGGATAAAGAATATTATGAAAGGACAAAGATCGATGGCTGCATCAATCGTTTAATGTTCACAATTGATTTGACATTCGCGTCATCGATTAGTCTATGATAAATTGACCGTAGTTAATGAACATAATAACTACTATATTATTCATAAACGTCCTTCGTCCGTTGTATGAGTTATTATACAATGTATACGATTACTTTGAACTGTACTCAAACATATTACTCGGTCTATTTAACTTTTAAGTGACAGTAAAAAGTCTCATTCCTCTTACTTTTTTCAGGCCATATAAAAGGCAATTATATAATTCACAAAATCGTATTTATCATCACATAATGTATTCTATTCTCATAGTTTATCATAGCGATGATATTTTGTTAGAAATGTATTATAAAATACAAAAAAACTCATGATTTTCTCACACTTACGTAATAGGTACCTGTGTTTACTACTATGATATTATATTAAATATCTGTGAATCGATTTAAGATGCTGTCGATACCATTATCTCTAAAAAAAACTCATTTGTTGACTATTAATTGATTCTGTCACCTAATTCAAAATTTAGTTTAAAATTGAGTACATTTTTCATTGGACATTTACATAATATATTACTTAAATAGTAATAATGAATCCTTGAATACAAAATGTTAGCTGATTTTAATTTGAAAAATTAACTTTAGCTTTTAAGAATAACATGTATCTTGCCTTTACCTAGTTTTTTGAAACATAAAAGTAAAAAATAAAGAATAATGGAATTACTTTATACATCTTAATCTTAATAACAAAAAAATCGCACGAGTTCTGCTTTAACTTAGTCACTGGGCGGAAATCACATAAAATTAGTTTTTTTTTTACTATAATAATTTATTAAGGATTTTGGACCCATTTACTTAGACGGTATCATCTCTGTAGTCCACGACATCGTTCTTAGGACAATTCATAAAAATAGTCTAAAACAAGTAATTAACTATGATAAGCTTACACAAATATCTACGATATCTTTAACGTCATAGTAAAACAAAGATAGATAATAAATAGTATGCAGATGATTAATGTAGTAAACAATTGCAAGTTTAATAGCTTTCAATTACATGAAAACAAACAGGAGACGACAAGAGCGGTGCGCACTAATCATGATGAACGACTGTTTGTAGTTCCGTGATTTATCTGTTCATGATCCATGATGTGATCATTTGGACATCAGCCGTGTGATATCTACAACTCGTGTGACCGTAATACACAAAGCTGACGGTGAAGCCGTATACATGAGCAGGTCAAAGGCCTCCGCGAACCGGGCCATTGGAGACTGCATGAATAATTTTATTGATGATAAATATAAACGAAAACAAACCTAATGTATAAGTTTAAACGTATTAATAAGTTTAAAATAAAGATTCTTCCACGATTCTTTCAGCATTAAATGGAACTTCACCGATTCCAAGTATAAGAATGTAGTTGCTAAACGAAGTTACTTGTTGTTTGACGTTTTCATCTTTTAAGGTTTATTGGCGGATAAGTTTGCCTAAGGCAAACAGCAGTTGACGTCATAATTTTTTGGGTGAGTCTGACACAAAAATACAAAGGTAGCGTCTGCGTTAAAGAGTCCATTGACTTATGATAACAAAGAATTAGTAAATAGTCCCCAGAGTCACTCTCATGTCTCCGTATCGGATCGTGGCGATAGGTAGATATTTTGTACTTCTTTTAGAACTGTGTTACAAAAAGTTTAATGCTTTTCGGGATCCCGTGTACAGTTCTATTCACATCAGTGTTCATGCACCAACTTTGTACACTGTACATCTCTGGCAATAATAAAAGTATTTTCAATTAAAGAAAGTATTTTACATGCAGAATAATCAATACGTTGCTTATGTATATGCCTTGGTGGTATATGTTAAAAAGCTATTATTAGTCGAATATGCAAACTCAATGCTACGTGATGGCATCCACGTCTCCGTGAAATACACATTTAGTCATTCGGTCAGCGTAGGTAATTTTATTTTCATACTTTCGCAAACTATGATCAAGTAAGTAAATTCAAAATTATTTTACTATTTCCAAATTAGAACATTTATGTTCAGAATACCAAAATATTTTATACAGTATTATACACGTTATTTACAACAAATGACCTCGACGGGAATGAGGAAGGAAATACAAATAAATGATTAGAGCTGTTTATTACGTCAAGAATGAAAGAAATAAAGTCTACTTGAACGCGGTGTTACAGAGATCATCGTTCTCCGCCTGGTTCGCGTCTACTTGCCCATCCGTTGGATAGACCACTCCTGTTGGCAGAGCGGGCACCTGTTGTTCTGCTTCACCCACAGCGACATGCAGCAGAAATGGAAACTATGGTTGCATTCACCCCACACTACGACGCAATCTTGCTTCCCGTACGAATCCTTCTTGCTTTCACCTTGGCATCTTAGACAGGCATCTGTAAAGATATAAAATTATTTTTTAACAACCGCCTACTTTAGTAAATCTTGGTTGTTATTTTCAACACTAGTTTACACAGTGTGACAGTAGACTAAGTCTAACACCTCTTCCATAAGTACTGTATTTGCATATATATTTAGTTTAGGCTAGAATTTTTAGCAGCAAACATAAATGCTATACTTCATACCGTCTTATCTTCGGTCTGTTTTTATAAGAATTAATTTGAATTTTAAAGTCAAAGAAGATATTGTAGTATAGTAAAGTGTTATAGAATCGTCAGTATACTTTGTCCTTTCTGGATCTTATAAAATTGATTATGTATTATTGACGGAACAGTTATGGAAATTTTAATATCCTGAAGGAAAATAGTAAACTAGCGGTGTGTAATATAGAATGGAAATATTTAACTACATTTAGACAGTGCAAGCGATTGCATTACACTTGATAAGGTAATCAGCGGCCATCATGAAAGTCACGTAGAACTAGACGATTATATTCTCTCCAGTAAAATTTCCACTTCCATACGAAAAATGACGTGAGTTGAATCGAATTGCGCTTAGTATTGGTACATCGAACGTATCTAGAATAATCATTATGTGGTATATTTCCATAAGTTTTTCTATCGCAGAATTATTAGAAAATATTTCAGATTCTTTGCAACAATTTTATCATAACTTTGTTATGTAATGATAACATGGTGTGTGGTTAATCAATGTACCATTTGTAAGGCTATGTATTATGCTTTAAATTAAACTACATTTTACCCCCGACTTCGTCTCGCTGGGATAAAAATAATCTAGTACTAAATGTAGTTCTTCCAGCCCATGTTCTACATCTATGCCAACTTTCAGCGTGATTCTTTTAGCCGTTCTGGAGTTATCTTAAAAAAAACATCCATCCATCCAGTCATTCGCATTTATAATATTTGTTAGATTAGTTATCATAAAAATTGAGGATTTTTTTTATAAATTACCTTATGGGATTACTTTTTAGTTCCAAATAATATCACCGGCTATGTTTAGTTTTTGCCAAGTATTAAAATCTATTTTACAGGCATATTACCAAATCAAAAACAAATGACAGCTCCTTCAAAACTTAATACTGCTCCTTCAAAACTTAATACATCTCTCAAGGTGTGAGAGATTACCAATATATGTAATTCTTTTGTATAATCCGTCGATTACCAACATGCATAAATTTGACACAACGCTACTATAGTATCCAATAATGCGTCTTCTTTCGATACTATTTTGAACGTTAACCGGATAACGTTGTATATAACGAGCTTATTATTATACTATTTTAGTTTACTTAAATCATTTGATCACAAGATATAGATGAATAAAGCAAACGGTATGACCGCTAAAAGCTTGCGCTATTGGGAATGAGATAAACAATTTTTTTCTACGAAATAATTTGCCATCAGTGACATCAACTGTTGATCCGAGGATATAACACTTATCACTCGTAGTTAGTTATAATTAATGCAATTTTAGCCTTGTCTCGCACACTTGACCTAAAAAAATAGTTTTTACCTCTTCTGATCTATAAATAATTTCATATTTATTTTAGCACGCTCACACTGACTGTCATACTCGTTGACATCTATTGAAAATGATAAGTGTGCGAAGAAAAAATTAGTACATTAAAATGTAGAACATTCGCTTTCTTCACTTTCTAAATAACAGCCTCTTTCAAATATTATGAGTGATTTGATAGCGAATGTTTAGTATGGATATTCGTGTGACATTGTCGGTTGTTGGTCAAGTACTCGTGGAATACGAAGACACAATGTCAAGCACTCTCCTAGAAAAAAGCAATAGCGAAATAATTATTATCAATCTATCTATGTGTAACTTTGAAATTGCCTATTCTAAATCACTTTCACTAATGTGACGTGTTCGGCAACAAGTTGGCGCTGAATGCGCACTTCCCACTTTACATACTTGCTATATTTTGAAGTACATATTACATCGTAACGGTGGTATAATACTTTACATACAAAGATACAAACATAGCTGCTCGTCAAGATGTATGCAATGGTTAATTCATAGATGTATCTTAAATTTTACAATTCACTTTATTCACGACTACCTTTTTCCCGCGACTAACGCGCGGTATTAAAAAAGTCTAATGGCAAAATAATTTATGAAATTGGTCCAATTGAGTTTCCTCTTTATAATATTAATATAGATATAAATATAAAATACAGTTGTATTTCATTATTTACGTAAGTAACAAACACATGTTATTAAGGCATTTATTGATCGATCTATGATAAAAAACATGAATCTTTTATTAGGCCCAATGTAGAAACATCTAGAGGAAATAATAGTCGTAAAAATAAAATATATCGATGTTCACGTGTGTCTGCTAAAGTTGTTATAACACAGAAAAGAAAGAAGTCAAAATACTGACATGCGTCGTAAATAAAATTTGGAAAATAAATATCTTGATATATTACAAGTTGCCTGCTGTATAATTGAAAAGAAAGTTTGAAAAGATCCCACGGCATGGCTTACAATTAAGTTTTCACACAGATAGTTAATGATGTCTTTAATTAATATGAATATCGTTAGGTCCGTGCATTTAACCATCTTAGTCTGAAATACATACTTCATCTCCCCCACTCCACTTAAAACAATACTGTGGCAGTGTACAACGGAAGAGTCCGAAGCGTTAGCTGCTGCACAAATCGCAATCTCGACGAGTACCACAACGGCACAGAAAATAGGCGTTAAGTGGAATTAATTCTGTATTTCATCTGATGAGTTTACTTCCGAGTCTTTTCCTATAAAAAATATGCTAAGGTGAAGTGGCTTTAACTGGGGAAATATCCTCTATCTGTACGTGTCTTACTCTGTCTTTCTAAGATAGATAATGCGTCTTCTACCTTTTAAATTGTTGCGGATGTCCCTTCGCTACTTAAACAAAATTAAGTGGCCGCTTGCTTTGCCACCTTCTAATATAAAAGTACACGAATACTTGCATTTTTTTAATTTATTAGTGTTAACACTTCCTAATTTGGTGTTATGAAATCAATATTCGTACGAATAAATTGCTAAAATGACAACCAAAAGTATCATTCACGTGACATAATAGTAGAGTAACCAAACAGGCAATTTAGATTTCAAGGTCTATTTGCGGTGGTATATCTAATGACTTAAATTTAAAGCAAACAAAATGATTTTATGACACTGGCTACAAGGAAAACCAACGACTCAAGCAAATTAAATTATTTTGTTCGCTCTTCAGCAAAAATCAAAGACCATTGTACAACGACTTAACAATTTACCTAGACTTTACTGATGCACATATGTTTATAACGTACGAAACGTTTTACGTAAGTATTGTAATTTATTTAAATAACTATGGTAATTACAGAATACATTTACTGATCAAATAATGGGTATGTAATAAAACCTTTAATTTAACTTATTAATCAAAGTATAACCTGTACTTCCAGTCTTATCCTTCTAGTAGCAGGGCTTGATTCATTACCAATTATAAATAATTGGTGTATTTTTAAAACAACATTGTTTCGTGGCCTTATGTAACGTAATAATATTTTTGTTACCGTTCCTCATATATCATTTACATTTATACCCAGCTTATATTAACTTTGCCACATTTAGTAGTAATAAACAAAAACTAGCAAGTAACTACAAAACATAATTATTTATTTATTTAAGCGTCAATAGCCTAATGGTTAAGGGTACGGATTTCTGATTACGAGGTCGGGGGTTCGAATCCCGCCATTCGACTATTGTCGTAAACCATATCGTAGCACAAGTCTAGAGCTTATTTGGAATGGTAAAAGAAATATTAGTAAATTTACAAAAAAATCTGCTAATATTTCATTTAAAAAAAATTATATGATTTCTACATATAGTAAATTTTACTAATGACGTAATTTACGGTAATAACCTTATATGCAACAAAATATGTAGGTATAATGCGGAAACGTTTTCAATGCCTAAGTTGAATGAAGATAAAAAATTGAGACCGTCAGATTTTTTAGCACCGGAAAATATTTTCTACTTAAAATTTCAATTATTTTTTAATTAAATTAAGATAATTATTCATAGTTTTCAAGCTTAAATAAGGGTGAGTTTTCACTGTCGACACAATTGTATAAAAACACATAATTTGCACGACAGTCTAATATTTTTTACGATATGTAAATATATAATGACGTCAGGCTGTAACAATATATTTAAAATATAAATGTCAAGGAAGGCAGTTTGCTAAACCAGATCTACGCGTGATTACAATTTTGCATGAATTGATGACTTTAGGAAGTAATATATCACTGTATGCACTCGTCGTATCACAATCGTGCATCGAAAATAAACAAAATAAAAATTGTTTATATCTGGAAAAGTAACCAAGAAATAAAGTGATTCACATAAAAGGTATTGAGTGAATAAGAAAATAATAAGGAATAAATCTGTCTCCAAAGGTTCGTGGTTATTCAAATTAGTCGATGCAATATAATGCAAGCATTCTGTAACCCATAAGTGCAAAATGTATTCAAATGATGAAATTAGTTGATACACATATGATGTATCTGCGCAGATAGGCAAAAATTCTGGCAATCAAACAAACATACAATCATCTGTTAAGAAAAATAGTCCAAAGATCGTTATGGTATCTCTGCTCTAACGATATTTGATAATTAATGTCCTGTCAAACAGTCGCTAATCACTGTAAACAGTAACCATTTATTAAAAAAACAAACACATATCTAATTGTAACAAAGTTAATCAGAATTAAAGAAAATAAGCTAATTTAATTTTTAATTTTTTGACAACCCTAATATTAGTGATATCTCAAAGCAAATATTCTGATGCTGGCGATGGCGTCATAGCCTCATATTTACAAGTTACAGTTTGGTGTTTTCACGTTAGTATGTAGTGGTTAATGAGTATGTTTTCGTGACCACTCCTGTATGTAATAGCTGAAAAATATTACAAAGAACAACATTCATGCAAAATA